GCCACTCTGTATTAATTTGACTTCTGGGAATTCAGGGTGGCTGGAGACTCAGTGGTTGTCAGTCATGCAGGTGCCACAAACTTAGGTGACTGGCTTCTAATGAAAGGCCTGGGCATCAAGGCTTTGGTGAGCTTCCCTGGCTGGCAATACTTCGTATGTGTTGTCACACATCATAGCTGGGAGAATTAAATACTGACTGTGTGAGTCCACTGGGAGAAGTCAACTGGAAGCTTGTGATTGCTCTCTCCTGGACTCCACCTTATGAGCTTTCTGCCTTTGCTGATTTTACTCATATCCTTTCATTGCAATAAACTGCTACCATGTGTATAACAGCTTTTCTAAAGTCTATGAGTCCTGCTAGCAGATCATCAAACCTGAGGATTGTCTTGGGGATCCCCAACACAGAAGATCTAACAGGTCATGGAAGAGTTACTAACAAGACATAAATCTGTTTGCAAAAACAATTTCAAATTGAGTTAAAATATATCACAAGGAATAGTATTAATTTTTAATCTAAATTTAATATTGAACTTATTTGAAAGGCAAAGAAATATATAAGTCAACTGTCAATTTTCATTTGTGTAAGACCACGTAACCACTTCGTTATTCATGTGTGTATCTACAACTTTATCTATGTCTGTATGTATATCTGTATTGCTGTCTGTATCTATTTCTGTCTACCAAGCAATATTTATGGGTGCTACATATAGGCATGTCAATGTGATTTGTTAAAAATTTTTGAGTGATTTGAAAAAATGGATTCTATTCATTTTTTGAATATAATCTATAGATATCTATTAATATGATCTTTGATGCCAAAACACCACATAAGCCCTTCTTTCTTTTTTTTAATGAGTCAACTTTGAATGTTAACTGAACTTTTTCAGAAAGACTTTTCTCTTTATACATAGTGTGTCCCCAGTCTTTTAGGACCAATAGAGGTTATTTTAAATAAAAATCCCATCCATCAGTAAATCCAGTTCCTTGGCTAAGATTATTTGATATTTCTGTGAGGAAATACAGAGAAAAAAATAGTATTTTATTTTGAACTTACCACTGATCAACACAAAAAAAACACTCATTCTGGTAAGTGTGGCCATTTGTAGCACAAACATACGATGTCACATCTGGACACTGTGATGTATAAGAAGGATCCACTGAGTAGTACATTTTACATGGGGGCTGCAAATACCAAAAAAAAATGTCATATGAATAACAATTGATAGATTTTCTCCCATCTCTTCCTGGCCTGTCACTTCCTCCTCCCCATAGAAATAATATCAACTAGGGTGCCTGGGTGGCTCAGTTGGTTAAGCGACTGCCTTCGGCTCAGGTCATGATCCTGGAGTCCCGGGATCGAGTTCCGCATTGGACTCCCTGCTCAGTGGGGAGTCTGCTTCTCCCTCTGACCCTACCCTCTCTCATGCATTCTCTCTCCCTCTCTCTCTTGCAAATAAATAAACAAAATCTTTAAAAAAAGAAATAAGATCAAATATTTCTATTCAATTGATCTTGTTCAAGATTTTCTCCTGGGCTTTGGTCAAGAAGGTTTTTTGGTGAATGCAGTGTTAGAAAATGCAGTGACCCATCCATCACCTCTTAAAGCCATAAGCATTATAACAACCCCACTTAAATGCCAGATGTAAAGTTTCCACTTAAACTTGGAATCCCAAAGCCGTGAACTCATTCTAAGAAGTTTGTGAGTAGAGATATTTATGTATTTGTGAACTTCTAGAGGAAGGGGCTCAAATGTAATTGTTGAGAGTAAGGGTTCTGTATTGAGGCTGGGAATAAATTCTGTATTTACCACTGTTTAAGTTTATGACCTTGAGCAAATGACAGGTGTCATTTCATTTAATGCTCAGAGATGTATTTTACTGTTATAACATTTGTGCTACATGAGATTAAATGTAAGTCTGGAAAGGTTATAATGCCCAAGGTCACATGGAAAACTTTTGTTCTACTTACGCCTGTGAAGTTTTAGGTCTCTCATATCAAGAGAGTGATCAGATTAGCATCAGAATTCGGAACTGAGAAATTTAAATTTACCTTAGGCCATTTATTTATATCGCGTGGCTTGAAGATTTCTGCAGACAGATAAAGTACATACACAATAGGTTGAAATCGTTCTTCATGGAATATGATTTTACCCACTGAATTTACTAACTGAATAAGGAAATGTAATTTAATTACTCATTTGCACAAAAGTATAAAAATAGCTTACAGCAACAGAATTTGTGGGTGGTGTTCTTTTGTTAACTATTTTATTCATTTATTCATTCTTTCCTTCATTTTCACAGCCCTGACTTTATTTATAAATTTTCTATGTCACTGAGAAAAGAGTAAAAACCAACTGAGGTTGTAGGTGTAACTTGCAAACTGTTATTTTCACTAAGTTACCTGATTTTTGTTGGCTTTAGTTTCCTTTTCACTGCAGTTGGGATGAGTGTACATACTTTAAATTTTTTTAATTAAATATGATATGGTAAATAAAATATTAGGCTTGTTCCTACCAAGTTGCTGAACTAAAGAGGATACTGTGAGTGATGATGAGAAACTTTTAGGATTCCTTGGCTCTGGAGAGACTGGTTCTGGGAAACTAGTTTGTGTGAGGATGCGTGGTGTTGCCTGGGGATAGAGGGTGGCCAGCTGGCTGTGGGAGAAGGAAATAAGAAAAGACTTATCATAGTTCTGTTATTCCTTATCTGTCACTGTAATATGATCTTTTAAATAGTCTAGAAAATTCTAGCTTTCCAAAAGTCAGAATTTCCAAAGTTCAAAGAGAAAACTTGAGTTGTATTTTAAATTATTTCCCAGAGGAAACAAGAAGCCTACCAAACTTTCCAGGAATAGACTATGCCAATTGCACTTATAATCTTTTAAAGAATAAAAAAAAAAAATGGAATGCGTCTTTCTAATTCTAAAAAACCAGAATCTTTTAATGACAAAAGTAGCTGGATATGGTGAGGAAAAAGGAAAATAAAGGCCTTCATCTAGCAGAAATAAAGTAAAAATATATACTGTATACCATATATAAGAATAAACCTCAAATACATCTGAACATAAGAAATGAAACCATGCAAAGATCAACTGAATTTCTCTTTAATCTTAGTGTAGGAAAACCTTTCTGGTAGGTGAAGTGCTTTAGCATAGTTTTGATTAGCATTTTTTTCATAATGAAGTTGAATATCTTTTACAGATTTAAGAGCCATTTCTGTATTTTTGGGGTATGTGTATGTGTGTGTGAATTGTATATGTATACATATTACTCATTTGGCAATTGGTTTTTATTTCTTTTTCCTCAGTTTTAAGTATTCTTATATATTAGTTGTATTAGTCCTTTATCTGTGATACGTGTTGCAGATATTTTCTTCCAGTTTATTAGATATTTTTTAGTTTAAGGAATTTACCCTGAAGATACACCTCCAACAATACAAAATACGTATGCATAAGATTATTGCAGCATTGTTTGTAACTGCAAAATATTGACAACAAACTGAACGCCCACACATAGAAGATTGATTGAATAAACTTTGGTATACCCACCCAAGGAAGTTCTATGTCATTGCATAAAAGAATGAGGGAGATCCCTGTGAATTGATTCGCACTGATTTTCAGGATATTTGTAAATTGAGAAAAGCAAGTTGCAAACAGGTATCTATAGTATGCTATCTTTTAGGTAAGAAAGTAAGAGAATGACACAATGTGCCCACATGTTTCTATATAAAACAAGAAAGACAGAGATCAATGAGGTTGGTTCCATAAAGACGGCTGTGGGTTTGGAATAAAAGGGAAAGGAGTATGGAGGTAATGACACTTCTCTGAGCCTAAACTTTTGCTCATTTTGTTTTATTTTCCTCGTGTTCAAAATGATTTTGAATTGCCCTTTGGATTTTTCTTGACCCATGCATTATGTAGAAACATGTTATTTCATTTTCAAATTTTGGAGGGTTTTCCAGAGTAACTCCCTTTTCTAACAGTGATACCCAATTGATACTCACTTTGCATTGTCAAGCCTAACATTCCCCACTTAGTCACACATGATTATTTTTCTTTTCTACAACTAAAAGAATATCAGATGTTTCTCTCCCAAGACTTGTAAGTTTGCTTACCTGAGAAAACAGTATGTGCCAAAGTGGAGGAAACCAGGAAAAATATGGTTGTGTAGGAAAAGGCAGCCATTTGATCTCATCCAATGTCCTGCTCTGGTGGGACCTGGGAAGAGGCTTGAGATAGTTTATTCCTAATATCTTGTACAGCTGGCTTTCCAAACATGAAAGGACCTACTGCCCTGAGGTGTTGCATTCCTATAAACTTGACCATGATGGTCTCACACTGGCCTGATCCCAAGGGTTCAGGCCTGAGAGGGCCCTTCTGCTCCAAAGAGAGATAGTAAACCATTAAAAGAACTTTTTTTTTTTTTTTTTTCCTGCCAGTAGTCATGTATAATCCCAGTCCTGGTTGGAAGAGGAACTGAGCTCCGGGCTTTCATCAGGACTGGCCCCAGGCATGTTCCTTTTACATAGGTTCACCCTGTAATCTATCATCTACACTGGAACATTGATGTTAGTAAATATAAACACTCTAAGAATTTATAAAAAATTCTGAATAAACGGGTGTGAACTGAGGACTGTCCTGCGTTATCAAGGACATGTCACTTTATAATGTGAGTCATTTGATTTCCTGGGATAGACCAGTTTCTCCAGTCCTTCATTTCCTAACTAAGTGTCTTCTTGCAGACCATTTACACGTGCTCAGATACAAAGAATGAGTTGAAAATAGAATTGTTGGTCTTGGGTCATAAAAATTATGTATACCTTTCCTGATGCAAGAATCAGGATATATATCTTGGTCTAAATATAATTTTTATGATTCTTAGATAGGTACACATAATTTTATATATATCAGAGAGATCTGAGTTCAGATTCTAGCTTCAACATCTCCTAGAAGTGTGAGCCTTAGAAAAAGGATGTACTTCAAAGCATATTGAGATGGTCAACTGATACCATTGTAAGTAAAGAGTTTATTTGTATTAAATTGCCAATTTCTTTAGCCACACTCTTCTCTTATAGGGATGGAAATACTTAGGCCCAGAGAGAAGATGTTTTCCAAGCCATTTCCTCAACTTCCTCCTGTCCTTCTGTCATTCTGTCTCTTCTCCAAATTGTAGCTGGTGGGCATGCCGAGAAATGAGGGAGAACCCTATTAGCTGTTAGTGAATTTTCCCCTACTTTCATGTGCAGAGGAAGCAAAAGGAAGATACTGGAGGAGAACAAACACATGGGAAAACCTACTGACAGAGAAGAAATGCAGAGATCCCACCACTTATTTGAACTAAGGATGGAGAAGATGAAGAAATATTACCTGAATGAGTTGCTGCAGAATGTAAGTCTGCTCTAGTCACCCTGAGGTCAGAGCTAGCCTTAAGTAAAGTGGCTATTTTATGAATCTGTGGCCAGGGGCATGCTGAGGACAGGGAGTAGCCTCCTAGCTCAGCTGAGTGACCACTTACTTGGCATGAAATTACTCTAATGGCTGTTTCCTACTTTGATCCCTCTCTTGAACCACCTCCTCTGGTGTTTCATGTCCCAGCAGGCAGGGAGAGATCTGAAGGTTCCATACTTGTGGTTTCTGGTTGTGGATCATGAGAACAAGAAGGACCAGCATCCTAAATATTTGACCACATTTGCAAAGGTTAATTGCTTACCACATTCCAGATGATCTGGTGGAGTTTCTTGCCTAATTCAAGGCTGATTCATCTTTCTGGTCTCTTCTGCCTCCTGAGGTCACTTAGTCCATTCTGCTTCTCAGAAGGTTTACCTGTTTTATCCTTGTAGGACATGATTTCTGACATCAGCCCAGGAAACTCGGGTACTGCAACCAGTAATCTTTGCAATACTCCAGCCTCCCAGTTTCTCCACTTGTTTCCCTCTACTTAAACATGGGAAAGCCTAAAAATGTGCCATTAACTGGAAAATTTCTATCACACAGACCTTAAACTCTCTCAAGTAGTTAGCACGCCTTTTGCTGCTTTGTCTTTTCTTCTCAACCCGAGTCCCATAGTTTGACATTTAAAATTTAGCTTCTTGACATGGCCATACTCTCTTGACATCCTACCCTTTATTCTTTCCTCTTCCAAGCCAGAATAAACTCAACTTCCTATTTTCCTACTCCAGACCTCAGTTAATCATGCTTGGCCACCTAAACCTGCTAGACTCTTAAGAAAGCCTCTTATTTAATATCATGTTGCTAACTAGGCCACCCATCTCCATATCATTTCTTTTCCTTTAATCCATTTTTTCCACTATCTGACCATACCTCCCCTATATGACTTTGAGTAGAAAAGCTCACCTCTTCTTTATTAAGTAGGGAAGCTTCAGGATGAACCAACTCCACTTTTCTTCTCTTTGCCTTGTAATTCTGGAAATTTTATTGTTTACTTTTCTTTCTATTTTTCTGCTTCTCTTCATATCAGCTTACGAGGGATCTACACATTCATCCATCCCTTTCTTTCTGCCAATACCTGGTTATGTGGTCTACACTCCTCATCACATTTATTCCTTATAATAATCCCATGAGGTTTATAGCATTGAGAGACTTGTATAAGAGAAAAAGAGACTGAAGCTTAGAAGAGTAAATTCATTTGCTGGAGCTAACTAGCTACTAAAGAGTGGTAATGAAGTAACTAGCTACTAATGGTCAGATATGGGATTCAAACACAGGTATGTTTAACTACAAAGCCCATGTTCACTTATTTTCTCTCATCTTAGAGAATGAATGTTCCCTTCAACTTATCTGTTAACTTATCTGTCGATCTTCTTAGACCAACACCATGAATGTCTTGTGTGATACTTTATGCTTTTCTTGGCAGCATCTTTGATTTTCCCCTCTTTGTCCCTCCTTCCAAAGGCAGTACTCTTAATCTCTCCATAATACTGCCTCCTAGGTAATTAGGTTGTGTCTAGTCCACCAAGACATAACCCTACTGGACTTTTGACAGGAGTCAATAACGTCTTTATAAAGTATGTATAAAAACATACATAAAACATGATAAAAAACATCTCTTCATACATGAATATGACATGCCTTCTTTTCAACTTGCAGGGGAATTCTACTTGCTCAATGTATAGGAAGTCCTAGAATACAATTTTTGAAACACAATCTGATCTTGTTGCCCTATTCAAATCTACCACTGGCTCTTTCTTGGTTATATTATGGGGTTATTATTTATGATAAAACTTGAATGTGACAAAATTTAACATCTTATTTTGTATAACTGAAATCAACTTGTTCATGAATATCCAAATTCTATCGGTAATAGACAAAAGTATCTTGGGGCCCTGTGACCTTGGGAGCAGGAGATAGAGGTTGAATGAAGTATGGATCATAAGAGTGAAGATAAGGGAAGAGGGTAATTAGGTTTGGGGATCCGCTTAGCACTAGTGTCAACCTTTCTAGTGTCTGTAGAAGCAGTTACTTTAGAAATTAAATTCGAGTGAGAAAAGAACACTGCCTGCACCTTTCAACTAAAGACAGTTTTATCTGTTGAAGATTCAGAGGTCTTTGGCTAATAATTACCTGTTGCTTCTCTGGAGCTCCATTTCCCTGGTTTTTCAAAGGCTTTGGAGATCCTTTGTATACCAGCATAAGGTTCGTTTTGTCAGTTAAAAAAAGCACTAACATTAAGAAGATGATCTCTCCTGATCTTTGTAGGAAAATGGTGGCTGGTGAAGTCAGATTTCTTCACCCATCTTTTAAAAAAAATAAGGCTTAATCTAAATCTGGAGAGTACATAAAATTGCCCAGTGCCTATGCCCGCAGTATAACTGGAAATCAGACAATATCATCTACTTTGCCCTCCATGCAATTAGGGAAGTACACTTCCAACACCAGCAACATTAACACAAAAGATAGAAAGATTACAGGTGACTTGAATAACCCTACTTACCAACTTGACATAACTGAAATTTATAAAACTTCTGAATCTGTAGTAGGTATCATTTCCCTATTTTTACCACTAAGTACAAATGAAATACACATAAAATAAACATAAGAAGACAGTAAGGGGGAGAGAAAGCGGATTGGCTAGGGATCTGGGGACTTGAAGAATAATACGATAGTGAGTTTCCTGGGTTTTCTGTTTGCTTCATGTATCCAGACTTGGAGCTGAGGAAGATAGCAACCTGGAAACACCAGGAGGCACAGGTCTAAAAACCACCCTGACAAAAGCCTGTTCTTTCTAGCTGAAGGACCAAGAAAGGAGCACAAATGACATTTTTGCCTCAAGACATTCTATCCAAGAAGCTATCATTCTCACTGGCCTGGGTTTGCAGCTGGGTTTCTTGTAGGATATGTTTCACAAATGGTGAAAAGCGTAGGCAAACCATGGGTAGCTGGACCCTCTATAAGGCACTAATGTCTTGTTGACATATTCTTCCTTTTTGTTTAACTTGTAGGGTCTTATTCCTGATGGAACTAAGTAATGCATTCATTATTACTATTTCTATGTAATATTGTCCCATAGGTCTGGTCATGTCATTGACATTAACCAGACACCAACAGGTAGAAAAAAAGGAGGGCCAGAATTCGATTTGACTCTACCACTCCTTATTGATTACCCATTAAGTTCCAGGCTTTATACTAGGTCATAGAGATGGCCTGGTATCCATCCATTAAATTACTGCTCTCATAAATCTTAGAGTTTTATTAAAAGCAGGTGACAAGCAGAAATCCAAAAAAGTAGAAAGGTGGTCAGCTAGGAGATGTGGCAGTTGGTGAGGAAAACCTGAGTCATGTGTGGAACTAGTATCAGAAGAGTGAAAACCCATCCAACATAAGATAATTAAAAGAACAGAACACTTTCTTCTCTTTGCCTGAATAAAAACTGGGGAAATCAAAGGCTCATGTCTAAGAACATAATTGAGTCCTTACTAAAATGGTCTTTTTATTCAAAGATATTTGGCCTTTTTAAAAATTTCTGTCAGGATTAAAGTAGCATGCATGTTCTTAAGGCCTGAAAGAAAATAAGCAATATTCTGCTTAATAATGTGATATATTTTAGGGGAAGATGAGATTCTTGCAGTTAGAAGTTTTTAAAACTTCTTTATATGTTTGTATGTTTTTTTACATTATTTTTAATGCAACCCGTAGTAAGAAATAAATTTTATATTACAACCAAAACACAAATACACATACACTCACATATCTGAAACATCACAAAATCCTTACACTGTGTGCAGTGCACTATGGTATTTTCTATCATATTCTATTTTCTTCTAGTTTATTCCGTGCAGATGCAGGTTGTAACCCACTTTGATTTTATTTTTTTAAGATTTTATTTATTTATTCATGAGAGACAGAGAGAGAGAGGCAGAGGGAGAAGCAGGCTCCCAGGGAGCAGGGAGCCCAATGCAGGACTCGATCCCAGGACCCTGGGATCACATGACCTGAGCCAAAGGCAAATGCTTAACCATCTGAGCCACCCAGGCGCCCACCCACTTTGATTTTAAAATGTATTTGTGAATCAGAGCCTTTAGTGTAAAAGATATTGGTTTAAAGAGTGAAAATTGTTATAAAAATTAATACTTGATCTTAACAGATGTGTGTGTGTGTGTGTGTGTGTGTGTTCATTCCTGGCAAATAGGCAACTCACACTGATTAGAATACTGAAAAGGAGAAATCCCCCAGTAAGACCACACCAGCTCTGAACCTCCTTCAATCTGTGGGATGTTAATGGTGGGTGGAGATTCCAAGCGGAGGAAAAACTGACACTTTGGAAGATAAGCCATAAATCAGAGGGAAGAGGAGCCAGGTTAAACAGTGGGCATAAATCCACCCAATGTGATTCCCTGGTGCAGGATCTTCTGACTTTCTGTCTGAGGAAACTCATGTATATACTGCAGTTGTAACTTTATCCTTCTATGCTGTATTTCCTTTTGAACAGTAAACCACTCTTTTATCAAGAAAGACATTTATCCATGTGCCTCCAAGTGTGATGGGTAGCATGCAATG